TTTTAACTGCCCTCCCGGAAGAGTAACCAGCTTAGGAAGGGCTCTGGAGACGTGTTTGTGTACGGAGTCCGCCACGTATGCGGATCGCGTTCTAGGCCTCACTGGATGAAAAGGTAGACCGGGAAGAAGGTGGCAGAGGACGAGACCAAATGCCAGCCTTGAAGAGGGAGTGGGCCAAGGGAAATGGTGGATCCAAGTGGAGATAATGGGAGTAGGGGTGGGGCATGGCGCCCCCTTACTGCGGGGCTGGGGTCGGCGCGCCCCTGAAATGGGGTAGCACAGAGGTCCCTGCAAAGGGAGGAAGAAGGACTGATTTCTGGGACCACCTCCCGCCCCTGGTTAGTGGAAGCTCAGAGCTCGCCAGGCCTTAGTGCAAGACTGCCTGAGTTGGAAAGTTAGGCAGAGTGTTCTACCCTAGAGGTTTGAGGAATTGGGCTCTTCCCCTGGAACAAAGGCTTCCCCGAACCGCCCCCCCTCCCCCCCATCTGCTCTTGGCTGGAGAAAGCGGAAGATCTCTGGGAATTGCTGATGTTTGGGGCCCTGGCCAAACGGAGCCCTAACAAGGGAAGGAAACATTTAAAGCCCTTTTTCCTTCCAGAGGTTTAAACATTGTTAATTCCTCCCGACGTCGTCATTGCATGGCATTACACTGGGTGGAGGCTACTTGTTCCAAACCAAGCCAGAGGAAGTACTAGAAAATTGTAAAACGTGATTCTAGTCCTAGAGAAGGTACGGAGTAAAAAGAAAATGAGAATACAATGTATTGTTGTTGTTAATAAGTACCGTGGAGTTGGTTCCGACTCATAGTGACCCTGCATAGGGTTCCGGGGCTGGTATTTTCAATAACCTCATATGCATGTGAAAGCTGGACAGTGAATAAGGAAGACCATAGAAGAATTGATGCCTTTGAGTTATGGTGTTGGAGGAGAATATTGAAAGTGCCATGGGCTGCCAGAAGAACCAATAGATCCGTTTTGGAAGAAGTACAGCCAGAGTGCTCCTTAGAGGTCAAGATGGCCAAACTTTGTCTCTCATACTTCGGACATATTGTCAGGCAGGACCTGTCACTGGAGAGGGATATCATGTTTGGTAAGGTGGAGGGTCAGAGAAAAAGAGGAAGACCCCCAACGAGATGGATTAGCCAGGTGGCAGCATCGATGGACTTCAAGCATGGCAACAGTAGTGAAGTTGGCCCAGGATTGGGCAGTGTTTCATTCTGCTGTGCATAAGGTCGCTATGGATTGGTACTGACTTGATGGCACCTAACAACAACAACAAATCTTTACGGGAGCAGAACACCTCATCTTTCTCCCACAGAACGCTGGTAGCTTCGAATTGCTGACCTTGAGATTGGCATCCCAACTCATAACCACTACGCTACCAGAGCTCCTTATAGGATAATCCTATTTTGTAATAAGTGCATTTGTTGTTGTGTGCCGTTGGGTTGGTTCCGACTCAGAGCTACCTTGTGTAGGGTTTCCGAGGAGTGATTATCAGACCACTGCTTATCTTACAACACCACACCAGGTTTCTGAGGCTGTAAATCTCTACGGGAACAGAAAGACACATTTTTCGACCCACCAACCATGTGATTAACAGTCCAACGCATAGCCCACTAGCCACCAGGGTTCCATACATACCTGTTGTTGTTGAGTGCCATCGAGTTGGTACTGACTCATATCTACTGTATGCACAAGAGAACAAAACACTGCCTGGTCCTGGGCCAACCTCACAATCATTCCTATGCCTGAGCCCACTGCTGCTGCCACTGTGACAGTCCATCTCATTGGAGGTCACCCTCTTCTCCCATCCTCCACCTTACCAAACATGACTCCTTCTCCAGGAACTGGTCCCTCCTGACAATATGTCCAGAGTATGAGAGATGAAGTCTGGCCATCCTGGCTTTCAGGGAGTACTGTCTGTACTTCTTCCAACACAATTTTGTTTGTTCTTTTGGCAGTCCATGGTACTTTTAATATTGTCCTTCAATACCATGACTCAAAGTCATCAATTCTTCTATGGCCTTCCTTATTCACTGTCCAGCTTTCATATGCACATGAGGTTATTGAAAATACTGTGGCTTGGGTCAGGCGCACTCTAACCCTCATACTGACTCTCGTGTTGCTCTCCAACACTTTAAAAAGGTCTTGTGCCACAGATTTGCCTAATACAATACGTCCTTTGATTTCTTGACTGCTGCTTTCCTAAGTGTTGATGGTTGATCCGAGCAAAATGAAGTTTTTTGTCAACTTCAATCTTTTCTCCATTTATCGTGATGATATTTATTGGTCCAGTGGTGAGGACTTTTTTTCTTTACATTAAGGAGCAACTCATACTGAAGGCTGTGGTCTTTGAACTTCATCAGGAAGTATTTTAAGTCCTCTTCACTTTCATCAATAAATACATCTATGTCTTAAATATATCATTGTATTTATATAACATATATGAGGGTAAATAAAAAAAAAAAATATTGCTGCAAAATCATAGGCACCATTATTAGACAGAACTATGAGAGTGAAGCTGTCGTTTCCTCACGTATCCTGTATGTAGGTCTATATACTTCTGGAGGCCATGTTTCCATCACTCTGATAATTTCCTCAAGGAATTATGTACTCTTTGATTTACACCATATCAAAACAACAGTTTTTGCATCTCTGAAGTACTTATATCCTGTTCTTTTGAGTTTGGGAGACAAAAAGAGCTCTAAATGGGCAAGATCAAGGCTGTAGATAAAGTAAGGTTTCCAACAAGATTCTCATAGAACAGCCTTTGCCACCCTAAAGAATGGGTAGCTACATTGTGATGGCTAAAAGTTCCTCCAGATAACTCTCTTGGTCTTCTTCTCTCCAGTACAGTTTTCAGTTTCCTTAAAACTTCTTCCTAGTGAACCCTCTTGATTGTCATGTGTCCTTCAAGAAAATCAATCAAGATTACCTCCTTGAAATTACAAACAATAATAGTTGCCATAACTTGAGATCACCTTTCTGCTTTATTTAACTGGCCTCGTGTGGTGCTGTGGGTTAATGCGCCAGACTGCAAAGCCATTTGAACTGCAAGGTCGGTGGTTCAAGCTCACCAGTCACTCCTCTGAAACCCTGTATAGGGTCGCTATGGGTCAGAACTGATGCAATGGCACTTAACAACGACAACAACAAGCAGATGCCCCTGGAAGCCACTGTCTTGATTAGACCTTTTTTTTAAAGGCACTGTAATGAGGTTATAGAAGCCCGAGTTGCATGATGCAGTCCTGGTGTGGCGCTGTGGGTTAATGCGCCAGACTGCAAAGCTGTTTGAACTGCAAGGTTGGTGTTTCAAGCTCACCGGCGTCTCTTTGGAAACCCTATACAGGGTCGCTATGGGTTGGAGCCGACTCGATGGCACTTAACAACAACAAGTAGCATAGTGGATTGTGAGTAGGGTTGCTAATCACAAGGTCAGCAGTTCGAATCTGCCAGTAGCTCCGAGAGAGAAAGATATACAGCTACAGGGTCATATGAATGGGAATCAACTTGCCATAAACCCACCACCAGTGAGACTGTGGTGATGCTGTGGAGTCTGTTCTGACTCCTAGTGACCCTGTATAGGGTTTTGGAGGAGTGGCTGGTGTGTTTGAACTGCTGACCTTGTGGTTAGCAGTGCAGAGCTTATCCTATGGCACCACACCTGGATCCTAAATGAAATGAAGGCAAGTGTATTACTGAGAATTTGTCTGCAGCCACCCATTGATGGCAGAGACATGGATAAATTTGTTTTATTTGAAATGAACTGGAGCCCTAGTAGCAATACTTTCTGACTTACCCTTGTAGTTAAGGTTCTGGGGGGCAGGGCACTAGGTCTCCTGGTGTGGCATTATAGGGTCGGCACTGAACTGCAAACCATAAGGTCAGCAGTTCAAACCCATAGCTGCTCCCTGGAAGCCCTATACAGGGTCACTATATGGAATCAATTCAATGACACTTAACAACCACAACATTCACCTTAGTTAATAATGGGGGGGGGGGGTGGTATTAAGTACAATATGTTGTTGTTGCTGTTAAGTGCTGTGGAGTCAGTTCCGACTCATAACAACCCTGTATAGGGTTTCCAAGGAGCGGCTGGTGACTTTGAACTGCTGACTTTGTGGTTCAAACCCACCTTGTGGTCTTGTGCTTTATCCCACAGCACTGCACCAGGACGTCTCCCCCATTAACAGAGAGTTTATTAGTGGTAGTTACTGGGAGCTGGTGTTGTTACAGAGTACTTCTACTCTTTATACCTTACGGGGCCCCTGAATTTTGCATAATGAGCATGCATTACTTTTTTTTCTTCTTATTTTTTCCAGAGTTACCGTGTCGCTCTGCAGCTGTGCCGTGCATTGGTGGTGTGTTTCGGAAGGCAGGCACGAAGGTGGCAGGTCGTTGGCTTACACCAGGCCACTTGCAGATCGACTTGTCAGGCATGATGAGAGGCTTGGGTGCGAACGGGGGAATTTGGCGTGTGCTCCGTGTGAGACTAATGCTTTTTTCCTACTTCTTGGCTGGAAACAGGCCCTTTTAACAAGTATCCCGCCATGGTAGGTGATGGTTTTGTTCTAGTTCTGTCTGTCCATTGTCCTTTCCAGTTTACAGTGCTGCCGTTAAACACAAATGGATTTGGATTGCATTACTTAACTTCGCTGGGGTCTGATGATAGCCCATGTTCACTGGGGGATGGGGGGAAAATCTTGCAGTCTTAGATTTGATCAGATCTTGTTTTGAACCTTTTAAAAAAGACCCTGATTTTAGCATCTGCTGCCCATGCCTGTATTTGTGTGTGCATGTTTGTAAAGAACTCGTTCACATGCCCGTTGGTTGTATTCCTTGTGCACTTCCTGGAACCAACATATGTGAGAATCAAGATAGCAGCAGAGCAGATACACACATTCCATGTTTATCTGAATCTTTATCTTTCCGTCCACAGCTTTTTCTAGATTTCCGATTACACACCGACCTTCCTGCATAAGCAAGCGTTTCCCTGCTAAAATGTCCTTGCCCCTTACAGAGGAGCAGAGGAAAAAGATTGAAGAGAATCGACAAAAGGCTCTGGCTCGTAGAGCTGAGAAATTAGCAGAACAGCATCAGAGCACAGACAACTCTGCCCAATCCAAGCAGGGCCCGTCCCAAAACCTGCCAAGGGGCTCTGCTAAGCCAGTTACCCGGGATGACATTTTCAGGCAAAAGAATCCCACTCATTCATTGAATAGTGACGAGAGACTTCACAATTCCTGCGAATGTTATCCAAACACACCAAAGCCAGCAAAAGGGATATGGAAGAGTCCAGAAAAGCCCACAGCCTGCCCAAGCTACAGGCCACCCAGTCACTTGACTCTCACTGGGGGTACCCTTCCCCAGGCACAAAATCCTCCAGAGGTCCCCAGCCAACATCACTTGGATTCTGGGTTAGGTGAAAGTTCTGCTCAGGCTTCCCAGGAGACCAAATCAACACCCTCTGCTAATACAACTCAGGAACTTTCGGCTAACCCAGTGAGTTCCCAGCAGACCCCAGCTTCTTCCCTTGGACAGCCCCCTAGGGATCCTAAATTACTGGCTGAGAGAGTGAGACCCTTCACCTCAGGGCAGACCATTTCTGATGCCTTTTATGGCTCAGGGACTGTGACCTCCAGGACAGAAAGCAGACTCCAGCAGAATCTGGGTTCCTCACTCCAGAAAGAAGGAAGCTCCCAGCAGGGCACATGTGTGCAGAAAGGAGACCGTTTCCAGGTGAAGATCGGGTACAATGCAAAGCTGCTGGCTGTGTTTAAGAGTCTGCCTAGCAGAAATTATGGTAATGAGCTGTTTTATTTGTTCTTCACATATTTTTCTAAGTTTGGGGGGCTTCTGTTAATCTGAGTTTCTCATTTTAAGAGACACATTGGCACATTCCATGCAGCTGTTTAAAATGTTCATTTATTATAAACATTCTCTCAAACAGCTGCCACACTGGCAGCCACCTGTAGTCTGTCACTTCATCTGTGTATTATCTCACTTAAACCTAACGATCATTTTGGGGCTGTAATTTCCATTGTAAAGCTGATGGAACGAGCTCAGCAGGGTGAAGTCATTTGTTTGGAGGAGTGAGGCTCACCCTCCTTCTCAAACCGCTTTGTCTGACTACCTGGGATTCTGAGAACTCTAGTCCTAACTCCGCACAAACCATTCACACCAGAGATGAAGCCATAACTTCCAAGGTATGAAGTGAATTATTTTCATTGAAAAAAATAAAATTATTCTTATTTGTGTTCGTTGGTGGTGCTGTGGGTTAATGTGCTAGACTGCAAAGTCAGTTTGAACTGCAAGGTTGGTAGTTCAAGCTCACCAGTCGTTCTTTGGAAACCCTCTACAGAGTAGCTATGGGTCGGAACCGACTCGACGGCACTTAACAACAATGTTCATTGGTGGCATCGTGGGATAAGCACTGATAACCAAAAGGTCAGCAGTTCAAATCCACCATGTGCTCCGTGGGAGAAAGATGAGGCTTTCTGCTCCTGTAAAGACTAACAGCCTTGGAAACCCTGTACAGGGTCTCTGTGAATCAGAACCGACTCCATGGCACAGAGAAACAACATGTTTACTATTAAAGGATCCCTGGTGATACAGCGGTTAAAGCACTTGATTGCTAACAGAAAGGTCAATGGTTTGAACTCCGAGGGAGAAATGTGACCATAAAGATTCACAGCGTTGGAAGTCCTATGGGGCAGCTCTCCCTGTCCTGTAGGGTCACTGAGTTGGAATTGACTCTATAGCTGCAGACTTGGGTTTATGTAGACAGGGACTTTGTAAATCATTAGAATCTTGTAGATCTCCTGTATTGGTGTCTGGGAATAGCATCTGTTCATTCGTGTGTGTGCATGCAGAAAACAAGGTTTTGAGTGCCTCATTGTAGACACTAAATGCCTCTGTTTTATTTCAGATCCTGCCACTAAGACGTGGGACTTCAGCATGACTGACTACCATGCCCTGAGTGAGTATACGTGTTGTCTCCCTCATAGAGGGAGAGGCTGGCTTTGCAATTTCTCCAGCCACTGGCGCTGTTGACAATGAAGGCTTTCAGGGCACCTTCTTCATGCTCTTCCTTCTCACTGGAGGCCACTGTAATGTTCACAACAGTGCCCGGCTGCTCGGAGCCCTTTCAGAGATACTCTCTTATTCCCTTGAGGTGCAAAGAGGATGAGTAACTAGCACAGTCCCTGAGCCAGTAAGGGAAACTAGAGTCAGGTCCTAGCAGTCTGTCTTCATAGTGCATGTCCCCAGTCACCGGGCCACACTGGCTCTAGCAGTGAGACCCTTAGAGCTGAGCCAGCCCTGAAAGGATGAAAAGCTAGGGATGGCTGCTCGAGTTACTTAGCTGACTTGGGGGCCTGTCTTGGTTTTCTGGACTTGGGTGCACCCCCAGCAGTTTCGGGGAGGTGATGGGCAGCTACCCGCTGAGTTTCCTGTTTCTTTCCTTGGCCTCCTCTTCTTGAACCCTATGGTATGAGATGATGTGGTTTCTTTAGGCAGGTGGCCTTTTTGGGGTATCATTTTTACTATAATGATACTAGTTCTGATTCCGATTGTTAGTGCAAGGAGGAGAGCCATGCTGGGTTCAGATGGCAGTTGCTGACCCTGATATCCTCTCCGGTCCTCATTGTAAACCAGTGGTCTCCACTATCATGGCTTCATTTTGTTTTGTTCTACCATCTTTTTACTCCTGTTCTACCATTACATGGGGACCCAATGATTTTTGCTTTTGCAAATCCACTACAGTTTCCTTTGTGGTGTAGTCATTTTCTGTATGGCTGAACACATTTTTAAAAACAATGTTTCTTTAGTTCAGAATTCTGTAGGTTGCTCTGACATGAATTTTATGGCTTGGGAATTGACATGAATTTTATGGCTTGGCTCTTCTCTTGCCTCCTCAAAGGACCCATGGTGGCACTGTGGCTTAGGCTTTGGGCTGCAAATTGCAAGGTTGGTGGTTCAAACCCACCAGTCGCTCTATGAGAGATCAATGAGACTGTCTGCTCCTAGAAACATTTTGGAAACTCTCTGTAGGGTTGCTGATGAGTCAGAATTGACTTGGTGGCAATGGTTATATCCTCATCAAGGAGCCCTGGTGGTGCATTGGTTAAGCACTCAGCTGCTAGCCCAAACCTTGGTGAGTCAAACCTACCAGCTGCTGCATGGGAAACAGGCAGCCGGTTTCTCTAACACAACAGAAATTGTGTTATTTCCTTGCCCTGGTAAGTTTTCTCTCCACTTGTTAATTTCTGAATTCTGCATTTTTTCATTTGGAAACTTCAGGAGCAGTAAAGCTGTGGTTCAGTGCACATTGAAATCCCCAGAGTTCCAGTTTAAGGAGTGTTGCAGCCTTTCTAGCCAAATGCTGCGCCACCAAACAGAAGTCCTCTAACCCTGTGAACATTGCCCACTTTGTCACTTTTGTCCTTTCCTTTTCTTTGGCAGTGAAAGCAGTCGAGCTCCTCCCCAAGGTCACCCTGCAGCCCTTGGAAGAGGCCAGCAGCAGTAGGGACTTGGCCTCCACCAGCAGTAGGGGACATGCCAGCCTCCCTCTCGCCCCATCCCTTGCCTTTGTCACAGGACGATGCATGCTCCTCAGCCGGGCCCGCTTTGAGGCTGACATCGGTTATTCTGAAGAACTGATTGCACTGTTTCAACAGATGGATTCCAAGAATTATGGCAAGTCATTTAGGGGGTTTTCCTTTGTCTTTGAAAATAGTCCAAAACTAACTTTTTTTGGTAGAGCCTTGTGTGCTGTTCTTACCATAGAAAGATGATTCCTACACTGTTTCAGATTGTGGACACTTCATGAGGGCTGTTTTCTCTTGAAAGGCTCCCAAAGAGACCAGCTACCCCTCCAGTCAACTCTGACTCACAGTGATGCCGTGTGTGTTCTCACCACAGGCTTTTCAATCAAGGAATCTGGGGGAAGAAAATCACCAGGTTTTTCTTCCTGGGTGCATCTGGGTGGTCTCAAACTGTCAACCTTTCCGTTTGCAAAAGAACACATTAACCCTTGCACCACCAGTTCTCGTGCTCTGCTAAAATAAAGACAGGTGGGTTCAAATAGCTGCATTCTGGAGGAGATGCTCCCAAGAAGACACTGACGAGGGGACTGTGGGAAATTGTAGAGACTGTTTTGTTTTTCAAGTCTCCTAGAAACCCTGTGCAGGGTTGCTATGAGTCGGAACCGACTCCACGGCACATAACAACAACAACAAAGAGAAGACGGGAGCGCTGGTAGTCCTGGTGGGGCTGTGTAGCATAAACACTGAACTGTAAGGTCGGTGGTTCAAACTCACCAGCCACTTCTTGGAAACCCTATACAGGATTATTATGGGTTGTAATTGACTCGATGGCTCTTAATAACAACAACAAAAATGAGAGCTGAGTCCTGGTGTGGCGCTATAGGATAGACACTGAACCGTTAGGTTGTGTAGTTCAAACTCACCAGCTGCTCCTCAGAAACCCTATACAGGGTCTCTGTGAGTAAGAACAGACTCACTGGCCCTTAACAACAAACAGAAGACCGGGTCATACGCTGGCCTGTGAATCACAAGGTCTGCAATTTGAGCCCACCAGTCACTCTGTGGAAGAAAGATGAGGCTTTCTGATTCTATCAAGATTACAGCCTCGGAAACCCTTTACTGAGACTGAACAGCACACAGCCACCATAGACAACCTCACCATAGACAGTCCCCATCCAGCTGCTCAGTGTCGTCCCCATAGAATCTCCTGAACTCCCATTGTGCCAGTTAAATCCCGCTGTCTTTGTCCTAAGCAGCCCTGGTAGCATAGTGGGTTAAGCATTGGACAGCTAACCTTGAGGTTGGCAGTTCAAACCTACCAGCCATGCCTCTGGAGAACAAGGAGGCTTTTTGCTCCCACAAAGATTCCCAGCCTTGGAAACAAGATAGAGCAATTCTGCTGTGTCTTCTGAGGTCGTTAGGAGCTGGAATCCCCTCGACCGAGGGCAGTGGCTTTAATTGGTTTGGGACCTTGTTCTGTCCTGAGCAGGATTGGAAACAGGTGGTTACCATAAAAATAAATGCCTTCTTGTAGCTGGAGATTTTCCAGCTTGAGTTGTAGAACCGCTGGAGGGCTTGTTAAAGCACCCATTGGTGTGAGCTGCACCCCTCAAGCTTTGACTTCTGTAACTTTGAACCTCACACAGCTTCCCAGGTGAGGCTGATGCCACTGTTGGAGGTTCCAGTCTAAAAACTGCTGTCCGAGTCTGTGCCTCTCCGTTCTGCTTGCTACTTATTACATCACTTGTTGGTGTTAAGCGTCATCGAGTTGATTCCAATACATAGTGACCCTGTGTAGGGTTTCCAAGGAGCAGCTAGTGGGTTTGAGCTACCAACCTTGTGGTTAGCAGCCCCGTGCTTAGCTTATCCTATAGTGCCACTTCTGGACCCCATTAGCATCACTGGGTACTTAAAAAGTCCTAATGCCAAGCTCCCTGCCATGATTTAAGTGAGTGGAGATGGGGCTTGGACCTCGGTTTTAAATTCTGCAGGTGATGCTAACTGTAAACCAGGACTGAGCTGATAGCCTAAGCTGGGCAGACTGGTTTTTCCATATATATATATTTTTTTTTTTTTTTTTTTTTGAGGTCCTTCAAAAGAGAAGGCAGATCAGGCATACTGGTTAGACAGAAACTGGTGGAACCCCAAGACTCTGGCCCTTAGTCACCCTTCCGATCTGGAACTGAACTCACCCCCATGGCATCATTTTCCACCAGACACAAGCTAGATCTATAAGGAAAACAGTAGCTCAAGGGAGGTATGCACACCTTAGAATAATCAACCATTCGAGATCAGGAGGACAGCATTTACCCAAGGACAAAGTTGAGAAGGATTAGGAAAGGAGGAGGAATGGAGACCGGAAACACAAGGAAGACGTGAGATAAGTGATGTTAAATTGAGAGGATTGCAGTCAGTGAGATGAAGCAAAATGTGTTTGATTTGTTGAATCTGCTCTGTAATGTCAGCCTTCACCCAATTCACAATAAATAAATTGTTTTTTTAAAAAAAAGAAAGCAGGAGCTTTAGACTCCTGGATCCCTTGGTTTCATTTTTAGGTGGGGCCACCTCCTAAAAAATGTGACTTTTGTGGATCAGTGTTTTCCCAGACTTGAACTGGAGATAGAAGACAAATTCTCACAGCACATCGCCTTCATGGGAAAACCCACTGGGGCTCAATGGAGTGCTTTCTCCAGGGCTTGGGCTCCTTCAGGGAGCCCTCGTGGCACCATGGGTTAGGCATTCAAACCCACCAGCCTCTCCTAGGGAGAAAGATGAAACTTTCTGCTCCGGTAAAGATTTACAGCCTCAGGAAGCCTGTACAGGGTCTCCATGGGTCGGAACTGACTCCACAGCACCTGACAATAACATGCATGGGAACTGACTTGATGGCAGCAGGCTGAGTTTGGTTCTTTTGAACTTTGGAGTCCTTCATTCAGGAGGAGGGTGAGGCTGACTAGGACACTTGACCCCTCAGGTGGACATCATTTTATCCGATTGGAGCCGACTGTAAGCAAGGCTTGTGAGTCAGGAGACGATGAACTGTACTCTCAGGGCCCAGGGTCTCTGCCTACCCTGCCCCCTCCTATGATCAGCTTATGCTTGGAGTGACTCTTGAGGCAAATTGTCGTAATTTGTGTCTGTCACCAGCCTTTGAAATCACACCCCCGACACTGCCTCCTATTTTTAGGAGTGGGTGCAGCCAAAACATGAGCATCTTCTCCTGCCCACACCCAGATTATCTAAAAACCATCATGGGATTTTCTGTTTCTGTTTGCATTTTTGCAATAGTGACTACCTGCAGAGAGAGCTTCCTGCTTCCTGCTTCCTGCTGTGCTCAGGCTGTGGTTAGACACGTCTCCCTGTACTTCCCCACATTGAAGATCAGTCTGTCTGCGTTTGGTATTGCACTGGGCTCCCTCACTTCGTCCTTGAAACTGACTCACTGTGTCCGCTTGCTTTTTCCCACATCCACCTGGCTTTTGAATGAGCATACTGGGAAATACTCACTTTTGCTTACCAGACAGCATTTGTTGAATCTAAGCCGTCTTGATTCTTTTTAAGAAGGTGGTTGTTGTTAAGTGCCATCAAGTCAGTTCCAACTCATAGCGACTCTGTATAAGATTTTCAGGAGTCCTGGTATGGCGCTGCGGGTTAATACAGGGTTACTCTGGGTCGGAACCGACTTGACGGCACTTGTAAACAACAACAAAAATAGGATTTCCAAGGAGCAGCTGGTGAGCTTGAACTGCTGATCTTGCGGTTCTAACCGACCTTGTAGTCCAGCGCTTTAACCTACAATGACAAGGTTGTTGTTGTTATGTGATGTGGAGTTGGTTCCAACTCATAACAACCCTGCACAGGGTGTCCGATGCTGTAAATCTTTACAGGAGCAGAAAGCCTCATCTTTCTCCCATGGAACAGCTGGTAGTTTCGAACTGCTGACCGTGAGGTTAGCAGTCAGATTCGTAACCACTATGCTACAAGAGCTCCTTACAATAACAAGATAGGTGGATAGAAAAACCTTCTATTTCAATAATTCACCATTGTTGAGCCATGACGTGTTTACGCCCCCTCCTCAGGTACTACAACGTGTGCTCTGTGCTACACTGGGCTAACCAGCAGATGACCTCATACTAGTCTGTAACTGCTGTTTTGAGTACTCACTGTTTGCCAGCTGCACCTTGATAAGTGTTTTACAGTTACATGTCATGTAATGCTCACAGTGCGTCTGAGGAAACGACATTTTATAGATGTGAACGCTAAAGCACAGAGAAGTTAAGTAACTGGTCCTAGTCACACAGCCAGTCAGTGACAGAGCTGGGCTTTGGCCACTCTAACCACACGCAGCCCTTTTCCCTACAACGTGGAGCTAACAACAGGGTTGTGAGGAATAGATGAAATGTTGCCTGCAGATCTTTGGGCTTCAGGTGTAAGCTGGTTACTTCTGCCCTGCTGGTCCATCGCTGGTCACTTACCCTGCGGCACCCTTCCTTCTTCATGGCCTCGCCGCTCCCTGTCACCTGCAGAAGCCTCAAGGGCAAGTGCACGCTCCCTTTTTATTTTTCACTTTGTTTTGTGAAGTGGGTGAAGGTTTACAGAGCGGATCACTTTCCCATTGAACACTTGCTGCACATCTTGCTTCGCCTCACTGACTGCAATCCCCACTTCCTCCCTGTGTTCCCGCTGCCATTCCTCCTCCTTTCCCTCTGAACTTTGTCCTTGGGAACATGCTGCCCTTCCAACCTCAGATGGTTGATGATTCTAAGGTGTTTGTACCTCCCTAGAGACCTGAATCATGGGGGTGATTCAGTTCCCAACCTTTAGGGTGACTGAGGACAGTAGTGTCTGGAGGTGCAGGGGCAGTGGGGAGGATTGGCAAGGACTCTGCCCGTGTCTGTATCCCCCAGTACCAGGCACAGGGTAGAAATGTGGTTTCTGAAATCTGGGAGTAAAAGCTAGAAGGTGGGGTGGCAGAGAAGGGCCGGGGTGGCTTGCCTGCCTATTTGTTTCTTTCTCGTTGCAGATGTCAAGACCAGGAAGTGGAACTTTCTCTTGGAAGAGCACAACAAACTAAGTGAGCTATCTACCTTGCTCGTTTTAGATATTGCTGTTGTGTTGAGTTTTAATAATCTGCCTTAACTTGACTGTATTGTAAAAGAGTGTCCGCCCTCAGCTGTGGTAACTTCAGATGCTTGGGTGCTGGGCAAGTAAGACTGGAGATGCTCACAGGCAGTCCTGTCAGCGTCTGCAGAGAGAACAGCTTCTCAGCCTCCTCTTCCCTAGGGTGGGCGTGCCAGACGAGTGCAATTTCTGCTGCCAGTTCTAGAGTGAGGGAGCTGGAGTTACTTACCTTCGACTGACGCTCCCAACATCCTTCCAGAACTAGATGCTCACAGAAGGCCGGCCAGTCTCAATGGTTAGGGGCTTCACCGTGGGCTTCCTTCTGCCAGGGGCAGAAGTCAGGCCAGGAGCTTAAGCATTGTCATCAAATCCTTTAGGGACAGACCTAGGGAAGGGACATCTGAAGAGAGGAGAAGGCACCAGTTTGGGGAGATGATTTCCTTGTGTGTGTTGGCTTGGATGGGCAGTGATACTCTCCTGAAGACCAGTCCCGCCTTCAGCTTTAGAGCTGCAATGGTCCTACCGGGAGTATACAGCGGGTGCTGCTCATGTTCCTGCTGGTGGGCCTCCCGAGGGCTGTTAAGCCAGGAGAGGAGAGATGGGAGCTCATTGTGCTTCCCAGCCTAGGGCTTGGAGGAAGAGGGAAAGCTGATTTCCTTTCCTTGCTCTCTCCCCCAGCTGTGACTTGCTCTGTGGCCCTGGGGAATTCAGCATTCTGGGTTTCCTTTGTTCCTCAGTAAAAAAGGCGGTTGTTAGTCTCTGTCTGCCTTACTGACATGAAAATGAAACACCAGGCAAGAGGGTTTGCTCCTGTGAGCTCAGGCTCAGTGCATATGATGTGGAACTTAGTTGGTGTTTAGTAAACACTGGCAGGGAGCTCCCGGCTGCTGTAAATAGCACGCTAGTCTCCTGACTGAAAGGTTGGAGGCTTCAGTACACGCAGAGACACCTTAGAAAAAAGGCCTGCTGGCAGTTTACCCCCCAAAAAGCTCATCATTGAAAACCCCGTGGAGTGCGGTTCTACTCTGACACCAGGGCCCACCAGGAGTCAGTCAGCTCGGTGGTAGCTGGACTGTCCACTGCTGGCAGAAGCAGAAAGGATGGCCTGCATCCTTCTGACACTCGCTGAAACTTGTGATTCAGAGAGAAGAATTTGACCGAAGCTGCATTTCTGATAGGACTTAGGATGAGTTCTTCCTTGTTTCTTTGCTGCTCAGCTTCAGGAACACAGAATATGTTAACACTGAAGGCTTTGACTTTAATGGAATCAGGAAAAGCAGGATTCTAACAACAATACTGGATGAAAATCATGGCTGGTGATCACAGAGCATGTGGAGCGTAACGGCTCCTCATTTTGTGGAAAAATCAGATGCCCTGGCTTCTTCACCCAGAAAAAATTGCATATGATTTTAATCATTCCTTAGATCTCAAATTAGGAATTCTAGGTCTTGAGTTGAGGTTGATTTTTTTTCCCCTTGTCCTCTCCTCATTACAATGTCTGATGGAAGGTGAGGTTGGTTCTCTCCGTTTCATAAACTGAAGAAAACTTGAGCCCACAGAAAAATAGAACTCAGGGTCACAAGCCGGTGACAGAGATAAAACTAAAACAGTTGTTTTGAATGCGTAACCTGGCCCATGATGGCATGTAGAATCCAGAAATGGGATCTAGAAGCCCAGGAAGGACCACACCCATATAGAAGCTCTGGTGACGCCATGGTTATAGTGCCCAACTGCTAACTGAAATTTCGGTGGTTTGAACCTGCCAACCACAGGAGAAATATGTGGCAGTCTGCTACTATAAAGATTGCTGTTAAATGCTCTGGAGTCCGTTTTGCCTCATTGTAATCCTGTATAGGGTGTCCGAGGAGCAGCTGGTGGGTTTGAACTGCTGACCTTGTGGTTAGCAATCAAGTGCTGTTCCTACAGCGCCATCCCAGGACTCCAGCTGACAGCCTCAGAAACCCTTTGGGGCAGTTCTGCTGTGTCCTATAGGGTCATTATGAGTCCGAATTGACTGGACGATTTGGGGTTTTCTCCTTGCCCCTCGGTCTCGGTTCCTCATGTGTGAAATGAGATTATTGACTCTGAGCTAGTGAGTGCACTTCTGAAACTAATTAAGAAGTGACAGTAAGACCTTGCGGGTCGTGCATGCGCCTTGAGGACCTGGTGGTAATTGTTTTCTCCCCATAAGGCCAGTCTGCGAGCTCTCCTCTCTTCTCTAAGTGACTTCAGGCCTTAGGCCCACAGTGAGGTTGGCATGGGGCCTTTGTTTACTCCCAGCTGTCACAGTCCAGAAGGGTTCTGCAGCCCCCTCACCGATCTCGTCCTTTCAGCCGCTATTTGAAAACATTAACATCTCTACTGCGAAGCTCAGCCACAGTCTGCCAAAGAGCTGTTTTATAGAAACGACTTGTGGGTGACTCACACCACCAGACAGCGCATCTCTGTCATCACCCCAGCACCGAGGGAAGGACAGTAGACACAGCAGATGATAGTGAATGGTGGCTTTCTCAGAACACCACCCAGTCGGCTGAACAAGCAAGCCCAGGGATTTGGAGACAGTAGTGGAAGGAGATGAGTGGAGGTTGACTTTTTCCTCTTGATGGCTGAGAGAATTGAACGCTGACAAAGCACCCCACTTCACAGGAGCCGCATCATCAGCCCTTTCTTAGCTTTCATCGGGTGGTTCAGTTCTGAAGATCACCAGGATTAAAAGGAAATTGTTTCTGAGAGCTCATGGAGAGCCCGGCCTCCTGAAGTGTGCAGGAATCAGCATGTTCAGATTTAATGTTGAAGTGTAAAATATATTTCTACATCCAGATGGGCAATCTTATATTAAAGCTGTCAGCCTTCCCCGATGTCCCATCACGGTGATTCTATTCATGGACCCTGTTTCCAGAAATAACTGGCATTTATATTTAGTGGAGGACAGGAATGGTTTTAAATATATTGAAAATACAAGGAGATTTAAAGTGGCAGTAGATGGGGCAGCCGCCCTTTTGAGAGTTGGGGCAAAAGACTTGGAATACCTTGTAAGAATATTAGGAAAGCAAGACCACATGGATTACAGAACCAGCGCCTTAGAGCTTCAAATATCATTGGGTACAAAGAGAACACACTCAGTTTCTCTTTATTCCCTTTACTGGCTCCCAAGGAGTCCTGGTGGCACTGTAGGATAAGCACCGGACTGCTAACCACAAAGTCGGTAGTTCAAACTCCCCAGCTGCTCTGAGGGATGGAGATGAGGCAGTCTGCTTAGGTAAAGACCTGCAGCCGTGGAAACCCCGTGGGCAGTTCTGCCCTGTCCTTTGGGGTTGCTGTGACTCTGAAGTGACTCGCTGGCCGTGGGTTTGGTTTTTGGTTTGGGTTTACTGGATCTCCCAGGCACAGGTAGACCCTTGGTAGATTGCTGTAGTTCTGCCAGGGGGCCCTTGAAAAGGAAAAGGATAAAGAGCAGCTGAAGATCTGTAAACAATGGTTGCTCTTCTAATTAGATTTTTGAAAGGAAAGAACATTTTGAAAAGTCAACTACAATCCATAGAACAGCAGGGTGTGGTGACTAGTCTAGAGATACTTTTACTACTAGGGATCTCTGGGTCTAGCACCTTCGGTCTGACTTTGTCACTTTCCCTTGTCTTTTTCCCCTGGTGTCCCTACTCCTGGAGTCCTGGTGTGGTGTTGGACCATAAGGTCAGCTTGAACCAATATGTCGCTGGTTCAGACCCAGCAGCCACTCCTGGGAAATCCTATGCAGGGTCGTTATGGGTCAAAACCAACTCATTGGCACGTAACAACAACATCCCTACTCTTGCTGTGGCTCTGTAAGATCAACACTGTACTGCGAACCACAAGATCAGCAGTTCAAACCCACCAGGTGCTCCTCGCAGCCGACACTACAGCACTAACAACAGCAAATCCTGCCATTGGGTCGATCTCTATTTGTTGTGGAGCAGAAGGCCTCATTTTTCTTTGCAAAGTGACGGATGGGTTTGAACCCCTCACCTTTTCATCAGCTTCCATGTGTTTACTCACTGCACATCTGAGGCTTCGTTCTCCTGCTAGAATTGTATGTTTCATTTGTATATCTATTTTGTTCTGTCTCCCTATTGAATAGCTTTTTTTTCTCTTTATTTTAAATCAGACTAAAATTTTTAAAAGACAAATATCAGTGAAATGAAGTTGCTTTCGTTTCTACATAGATCCCTAGTGATTTTTTTCCACATGAGTGAACGGCCTTGAGTAAAAGAAGAGATCCTTCTTCTTTAAGAGTCTAGGGTCAGCCCCTTGAAGGAAAGCAAAGCCCCCAAATGCCAGCTTAATTGAAAGAGGATGATGACTCTTTGGCGATAGCCCTGATGCCCAGCTTAGCAGGATTTGGCAAACTTTTTTTGTAAAAGAACAGATAGTAAAAATCCTAGACTTTGCCACTACTGGGCTCTGCTGTATCATGTGAAAGCAGCTATGTTGTTATAGACAGTACTGAAAGGTTATTGGCATGTCTGGTCCAATACAATGTGATTTACAAAAACTGGCAGCCAGCTGGATCTGGGCCATGGGCCCTCATTTGCCAATCCCTACAATTGGTAGGGAGTCTGGTGTGTGGCTGTAGGATCAGCACTGGACTGCTAACTACAAAGACAGTGGTTCAAACCCACCAGCCGCTCCTCGGAAACCCTACACAGGGTCACTGAGTAGGACCAACTTGATAGCACTTCAAAACAACAGGGAGCTCTCAAGTCCCCTCCAGATGAATGGGTTCTCCTGCTGCTTGGCACACAGATCACTGCTGTAAAGCTCATCCCTGTTAAGAGGATATTTTTAATCTCACAAATAGGGTCAGGCTTTTTGCTCCTGCAAAGATTTATTTTCTCAGAAACTTTATACAGGGTCGCTATGAACTGGGATTGAATTGACAGCGCTTAGTACATCAACAAAAAGAATAAACAGTTTTAGAACCCCAGGCATTTTTATCCATTTGTGACCTTTTGCATCAACTCTTTTTTCTTTTTTTTATTTAAAAATTGCATGACATCCTTACTCTCATCCTTCCAGTCTCCGGAGGACCGTGTTGATTGGAAGGTAGACCTGATAGCTCAGTGGGTTAACCGTTAGGCTGCTAACCACAAGGTTAGCTGTTCAAACCCAGCAGTGACTCCAAAGGAGAAAGTGAAGGCTGTTTGCTCCCCTAACTCTTCAGTCACAGAACCCTGCCGAGCACTTCTGCTCTGTCCTGTGGGCTAGCTGTGATTTGGAATGGACCCAGTGGCACTGGGTTTGGTTTGGGCTGGATTTTTAGAATATGGGAATACTGAGCCCTGGTACCACAGTGGGTTATAAGTTGGGCTGCTAACTGTAAGGTCAGCAGCCTTTCCGCAGGAGAAAGGTGAGACTTTTTGCTCCCATAAAGATTTGTTGTTAAGTGTCATCAAGTCGATTCTGACCCATAGCGACCCTGCATAGGGTTTCCAAGGAGTGAGTGGCAAGCTTGAACTACCGACTTTGTGATTCAAATGACTTTGCAGTCTGGCGCATTAATCCAACAGCCTTGAAAACCCTACTCAGGTCGCTATGAGTCGGAATCGATGGCACCCAGGTGTGACGCTGTGAGCTCATGCGTCAGACTGCAAAATCATTTGAATGGTAAACTTGGCGGCTCAAGCTCACCAGCTGCTCCTTGGAAACCCTATACAGGGTTGCTATGGGTTGGAATCAACTCTATGGCACTTAACAACAACAACAACAAAGATTTACAGCCTTGAAAATCCTATACAGGTCCCTATGAGTCAGAATTGACTCAACGTCACACAACCACCAACAACCAAGAGTAAAAGAACAAAAATTTTTAAATTACTTTTGTTTAAAAAAAAAAAAAAAAAATCAGTCTCAAAACACACTGTTTCTTTCCAGCGTCTGTGTAGTATAGCCAATCAGTCTTCCATTATTGATTGCCCTCTTACCTGAAGGCACGGATCTGGTTCTCTGTGTTCATGTACTTTGTCAGGGTCTGTAAACCACAATTCCTTTTCAGCTTTCCTTATTGAGAAGATGACATGTAGGAGAATCCTGGGTGCTAAATCTGGTATCTTTGGGGAATTCCTTTTCCTCTCACACGTCTCTGCTCTCCTTTCTAGTTGAGAAGGCGCGCCTCCTCCCGCAAGTTCGGCTGGATCCTCTGCCCAAGACAATCATCCAGGCTTTTGCCTCTCAACTAGAGAAGACGTCTCGAAACCTCACAGCAGATGCCCCCGAGGCAGACCTTTCTGGAGTGGACTCCAAGCTTGTGTCCAGCCTGATGCCCTTTCAGAAAGCTGGTGTCAAGTACGTCCTTCATCTTCCTCTCGCTTTCTCCTCCATTTGGATCACTTACCATGCACTGAGACAGATGTTGCCTCTTTTATGAATCCTTATTTTCCATGGCTATCTGGGAGTATGTAGACAGTCAACAGCCAGATGTGCTGTTCCCAAAGCTTTATTGTAACTATTGGTCTCAGAGTTCATGGGTGAAATCAGAACTCTGGGTTTCAGGACTGCAGAAACCCAACTCAAGCTAGATTAAGCTAAGAGATTGCTCAGCAAATAGATGAGAAAGTACAGGGTCTCTAACGACGTCATGAGAATTCTCTGTCTCTTTCGCAGCTCTGCTGCCGCTTGGTTTGCTTGGTTCTTGGCCCTGCTCGCCACAGATATGGCCACTTACCTTCAGTTACCTTCACAACCCAGCAGGAGCACCTCTTTGCTAGTGGATCTGGTGCCGAACCCAGAGCCAGGATGGTGGCATGAGCGGTTTGGAGTCTTGTTGGTTAGTCCTGGTGACAGGCCATCCTGGAGCCAGGAACCTGCCCCACCTGAATTCCTCGTTCTCTGCAAGAACATCAGCAAGCCCTTGTCATAGAAAGAAAACCTGTGCCCTAACCTGTTCTTTTAACAGCAATTTCTTTTTCTTTCTTTCTTTCTTTTTTAACTCTTCATTATAAACTGAGTGAGGGTTTACACAGCAGATGATCACTTTTACATTCAACAGATCTTCGTTTTATTATAATGATTGCAATCCCCTCCGTGTCCCATCAGTTAACAGTATTGACCTCGATTCACGTAAACTCTTGCCCCCCTCCCTGTGTCCCCTGTTACCTTCACCTTTCTTCTGCTAACCTCCCTCTTATTGTATATTACCTGCCCTGTCACCCATGTTAGCAGGTGTCTATCCTCTAACCAGTGAATCATTTTCCCTTCCCTCCTGGCCCTGGTAACAATCATAGAATGTTTCTTTTATCAAGAAAACCTTTTCTTAACTTTTTACAACACTGACCTCATACAATATATGTCTTTTTGTGATTGGGAGAAGCAAAATGACAAGTTTAAACTTGCCTTCTAGTGAAAATACGGGAGGCCAAGGAGTGGAAAAGAAGCGAGGCCTTGAACATCTGTCCAAATATAAGAATTAGATCCGTCATTAGGCTGTGTGATTGAATAGAGAGCCCTCCCTATGCGAGGGAAGGAACCTCAGTTATCAACTGAGCTGACAAACCAAGCCATCCAGCCTGTTGCGGCAGGATCTGGGCAGTACTCCGAGCCAGTTCGTTCTGGTTCCACGCTCCCTACCACCCCTACTAGGAGATCTTGTTAAAATGTGGATTCTGATTCCCTATACCTAGGGTGGAAATACAAATTCTCAGTTGGGGTTCAAACCAGAGTGGCCCCCTTGGGAGAGTTGGATTGAGGTATTTTGGCTACAGCTGGGCTACTATCTTTGGTTCCATTAGAAGGCCTGACTTCACCTGGTGAGTGCTGGTCCGGAGAGGTGATGTGTTGGTTCTGATGTTGACATCAGCATGGGTCCCACAGCAATGTGTAGAGAGGAACCTGAAAGGCTATCTGCACCTATAAAGATCCGTAACCTCGGAAACACCATGCAGGGTCCCTCTGATTCTGAACCGACTCATCATACACCCCCATTAATGAGCATAGGAAGGATGTGTTGATGTTGTCCGTCCTAGGAGAAGGACATCATGCTTGGTAAAGCGGAGGGTCAAAGGGAAGAATAAACGACATCAAAGGAAACGGACTCAACAGTGATTATGTGGTTGGCACAGGACCAGGCAATGTCTGATTCTGTCATACAGAGGGTCACTATGGCTGGAACCAACTCACCAGCCCCTAACAGCAACAGTAATGTGTAGAGACGAGCCTGGGTCTGTTCAAGAACGGGTGAGGTAGCACAGAGCGATGGCCAGGCCCTTCCTCTCACTGGGGAGGACCAGGATGCCATGACATATGACCCTGCTTATCTCCTAAGGCTGGCCTTAGGCCCCCAGGGTCTGCTGCTCGGGGTTCTATCTTAGGCCCTGGCTGTTGGACACTGCTTTTAGAAGGGCAGGGACGACCAGGCCATTCAGAAAAGCCGCATGCAGCTTAGAGTTCTTGTAAACCGCTAGGCAGACGGTCAGGTGATCACCTAAAGCTAATGGGAAGCGCGCACGCTGTTCCTGCTATGGAGGAGGAAGGAAAAGGAGGTCGTCAATTGGCCTGTTACCAGGTTCCTGAGCCACCTGGCCATGTTTTCCGTAATTGAGGATTTCTCATTCAGTGAATGAGGACTGGTGTTTGGAGCAGGGAACCAGCTTCACAGACTCATCTTGTAACCTGGAACCTGTCCATTTTACTGTTTGTGCCTTGATCCTTTTCTCCTTTTTGTAGACTAATAGTTACAGTAGGGACACTTACTTAGCCCTTCGGATGCTGCAGGCACTGGTTTATGTGCTTTTTGTGTTGACTTTTCATCCTCATGGACGCTCCATAGGGCCAGACTGCTCAAATGTCCAGTTTTTAGCCCAGGGAGCTGAAGCTGAGAGAAGTTACACTGCCTGAAGGTACAAGGCTGCTACGTGGTGGGATCAACCGGTGCCAGTCTGGCTCTAGAATAACACCAAGCCAAATCAAACCCCTTGGCATCAGATCTGCTCCCAACTCACAGAGACCCTAGAGGCAGAATAAAACTCCCCAATAGTGTTTCCAAGACTAATCTTTACAGGCGCAGACTGCCTCATCTCTCTCCTATGGAGTGGCTGGTGGATTTGAACCACTGACCTTTAGATGGGTAGCCAGGTGCATAACCACCGCACAAAGGCCTCCTTCCCAGATAGCACAATGCAACCTAGCCCCTTTTCACAGAGTGTTGGCCAGGATTGTTACCTATAAAGGGGTTAGGATTTTACGCACTGCCATCAAGTCTGTTCTGACTCAGTGACCCTGTAGGAGAGAGGAGAACAGACCCATGGTGTGTGTGTTCAAGGCTGTCATTGTTAAGGGAACTAGACTGCCATGTCATTTTCCCACAGAGCAGCTGGTGGAGTCAAACCACCTTTGGTTGGCAGCTGAGTGCTTTAACTCGCGCACCACCAACAGGCTCCTTCAGGACCCTGTTGTTGTTAAATGCCGTCGAGTCGGTTCCGACCCATAGTAACCATGGATAGGGTTTCCAAGGAACAGCTGGTGGGTTTGAACTGCTGATCTTGCAGTTAGTGTTGTTACAATTGTTGTTAGTACCATCGAGTTGATTCTGACCCAGAGCGACCCTATCTATGTAGGATTTCTAAGGAGAAGCTGGTGAGCTTGAACCACTGACCTTGCAGTTCAAACGACTTTGCAGTCTGACACATTAGCCCACAGCACATTGGAGCAGCTAGTTAATAAGCCCCTCCTTTATACAGGAGTCTGTGCTCTCTCCTACTACACAGGCGCTCTTGTTCACATTCTCTTTCCTTCTCCAGCACGTTCTGTTGTTGCTTCTAGCTCCTTCTCTGGGCCTTTATGCCTACGTAGCTCTCTCGTGACTGTAGAAAGCCTGTTTTAGCCCCACAGTCTCTTCTGACAACTCTTCCTTCCTTGCTGGGAAGGTTTCTCAGTGAACACGTGGGCCACCTCAGTCCCTCCTCTGGACTGGAGTTCCAGTTCACATGCTCCACTGCGAACTAAGAGATTAGCGGTTGGAGTCCACCTCAGGCACCTCAGAAGAAACACCTGGCAGTTAGTCTATTTTTGCAATGTCAGCCATTGGAAACCCTGTGGAGCACAGGTGTCCTCTGCTACATGTGGGGTCACCCCAAGTAAAGATCACCTCTCTGGCTTTGTGGAATCAAGCATTCGCCTCCATTCACATTCCTTGCGCCTGCCTGGATTGAGGCTACTCCTTTTTTAAAATTTTTTAATGTTTTATTGTGAATTATGTGATAGTTTACATGGGAGAACATTAGTTTTACATTCATCCTATTGTATTCCTCTTTCATTGCCATGGTTACAATCCCCTCCATGCATCATCAACCAACCAAAGGGTATACACTACAAGCCCCGGTCATCAGCACACAGCCCCTCTCCCTCTCTGTGTCTAAAGTCCTCAACTCTTCCATCTCTCCACGTCATCGTCTCTGCCTCCATCTCAGGCATCACTGCTTCTCTGGGAAGAGTCCCGCACTCCGCTCTTCTCCTTTGATGGTCCCAGAGACCTCCTCCACTCCTAGGCTGAAAAGTTATTCATTCCCCTCCTTGCTATAAAACATCTACCTTTACATTTCCAACCCTCACAATCAGTCCTGATAACAATTATTCACTATTGTATCAC